GGTGTTAAGGTCAGGCTGATAGGTCTGTAGTTTCCTGGATCCATTTTTTCCCCTTTTTTAAAGATGGGAACTACATCAGTCTTTTCCAGTCCTCTGGTAGTTCCCCAGTGCTCCAGGATCTTTGAAAGATATATATAGTTCAGTGGTTCTGAAATCACATCTGCCAGTTCCTTCAGAACCTTGGGATGTAATCCATCTGATCCTGGTGATTTGAACTTATCTAGGGTGGACAGTTGCTCACTTACCACTTTCTTGCCTATCTTAACGTGTTTCTAATCTGTTTCTAATTTGTTTTTTACGTACTATTTTTGATAGGTTGGACTGTTTTTTCCCTTTGTGTAAATACGGATGCAAAAAAAATGAGTTGAGTAGTTCTGCTTTCTCCCTGTTGCTTGTCATCTTCTTGCCACTTTCTCCCACTAGTGGACCAATCACTTCCTTAACTTTTTCTTGATTTTTACACATTAAATTATTGTGGTTCTACTCAGAAGGGAATGCTAAGATCTGTTCAATAAAACTTTGGTATCATTGCTTCACTTTTAGGTATAATTTCTTGTCCTTTTTAAAGGATGATTCATTGCTGCAAGTAATTAAGGAGTAGCTTAGTGATAGACAGGAAACCAAATAGTTCTAATTTTATATTTCCTCCTCCTCACTCCCCTTATAGTAAGACACTAACTAATTTTGCATTAATTAATACAATGGGGCAACCTGTAAATACTGAGATGTTCTGGGCACAGTGCAAAAATGCTACATAGGCTAAACCTTGTGTAATCTGGTACCTTGCAGATGTTTTATTCAATCAAAACTGCCTTCCTGTTACTTAAGCCCATGTATTCCATATCTTATATTCTGGCAGGATAGAGAATAACGCTTGGGCTTCATCTATGAGATATATTTTCTGACAAAAGCTATCATGTCACCTCTCAGCCTTCCTTCCTTCCTTCCTTCCTTCCTTCCTTCCTTCCTTCCTTCCTTCCTTCCTTCCTTCCTTCCTTCCTGCCTTCCAGGGTATGATCAAAAAAGTCAAGATAATATTTATTGCAATCTAATTGAAACTCTCCCCATTTTACCTGTGTGATGCATTTTTTGACCATACCTTTGAACACACTTTCCCTGGATAAAAATAAGTATGAATAACAATAATGCATTTTAAAAAGCAGTGCTTCGGAAATGCAGGAGCACAAGCATTATCTTAGAGCAGCTTCCTGCAAGCATAGTTTGGAGACTGAATCCCACAGGCTGACAGCCATACTAACCTATCTCCCAGTTCCCTCCATCTGTCTTTGCAAGGCTTAGTTTCCAGTCTCCTGATTTTCATTCTTGCTTTTCTTTGAACCAGTTTCTCTGACTCTTTCTTAAAGGGTGTGATCTGAAAGCAGATGCCATACAGAATATAACATGGAAGTCTTGCTTAGTGTTATCCATGATAAAGAACATATTCTTGGTCTGCAATCACAGAATAACAAGCAATCACAGAATAACAGAGTAACAGAGTTGGAAGGGACCTTGGAAGTCTTCTAGTCCAACACCCAAGTTCTCTCTGTCCAGTATCAAGTCACTTTTGCATTTTAGGGCTGGGCAGCACTTCCCATTGTTATCTGACCAGTATATGTAGTTCTTGACCACAATTGAGCCCATAATTTCTGTTGCTAAACAAGGGTTGTTAAGTGGGCTTTGCCCTATTTTACAACCTTTCTTGACACCGTTGTTAAGTGAATCACTGCAGTTACGCTAGTAACATAATTGCTAAATGAACCTGGCTTCCCCCATTGACTTTGCTTGTCAGAAGGTCACAAAAGGGAAATCACTTGACCCTGGGACACTGCAACCATCATAAATATGAGTCAGTTGCCAAGCGTCTGAATTTTGATCACCTGACTATAGGGGTGCTGCAATGGTCGTAAGTCTGAAACATGTGACTTTTTTCAGTGCTGTTGTATCTTTGAATGGTCACTCAGTGAACTGTTTAAGTCGAGGACTACCTGTGTAGGCAGTAGTCTGACCCAGGTCAGAACCACTGCCTATGTGGGGTGAAATCTAAACTTTTCTTTAGTCTAGTTTCCCACATACACACATATATACACTAGGACTACACATATGTACATATGTATTTGCATGTATGAGCTCCCAGGACCCAAAGAGAAAAGTCTGCTTTGTACTAATATATTCTTTTTGCAGTAATTTCTGCATTCTGCATTGTTTTTCTAGAGGACTGCTTGATACCACTGAGAAAATGTTCTCTTCCTTACTAGCAATTCCACAAATTGAATGGAGAGATTGACTTGATTCGCCAATCAGAATGAAATGTATTTGAATTGATTTGACCAGCCAAGACAGTTTCTGCATATGGACATTTGGATGCCTTGAAACTGGATCTGATTCAGACGAATGAGCCAATTTAATTCAGATGTCCACATCAAATAGAACTGATCTTCCCAATCCCTTTGAATCTAATTGGGTTCAGGTCATGCACCTCTAGGACTTAAACATAAATCACTATTAATCCAAATTTCAGTAATAATGGAAACTGTGGTTTGGAGATTAAAACAAGCTTTTGTTATTGAAGGTAGTAATAGCTGTTTAGTTATCCTCTAGTTATACTACTTATCAGGGACACACACTAACCTTATCACAATGTGACTTAGACTAGAGCAGTGGTTCTCAACCTTTTTAATGCCGCGACCCCCAACTGGTCGTAAGTTGAGGACTACCCAACTGGTCGTAAGTCGAGGACTTTCCCTGCCTGGGAGCGCCACGCATGCGTGGTGCCGCCCCCTGCGCCGGCCGAGGCATAGCTGGCAAGCGGCAGAGATGGCGCAGGCCAACCACCGACTGGCCTAGCCCAAGGGAGGTAAGGCACCCGCTGGGCCCCACGTGTGCCAGCAACCCTCCCTGCGCCTGCCGGCCTCCCACCTCCCATCCCTGGCCCTCTTTTTTAGTAGTTGCTCAGCAGGGAAGAGTGGAAACTTCCAGACAGCTCACCTTCGCTGCAGACAACTTGCAGCACCGTTTACAGAATGAGACTTTTGGCAGGCTCAGCAGGGCAGAGACATCCTGGACAATTCCTATTGGCTTTTGAAAGCCAATAGAATTAGACTCTATTCAAGAGAGTCTATTCTATTGGCTTTCAAAAGCCAATAGAATAAAAGGGAGTAGCACAGCTAAGGAAAAGGGGGGAAAATGGCCGACTGTGTTGTTTGGCGACCCCCATGAAATGGTTGTTCGACCCCAAATGGGGTCCCGACCCACAGGTTGAGAACCACTGGACTAGAGCAATGTATCTTAACCTTGGCAACTTAAAGATGCGTGGACTTCAATTCCCAGCATGCTGACTGGGGAATTCTGGTAGTTTGAAGTCCACACATCTTTAAGTTACCAAGGTTGAAAAACACCAAGTTAGAGGATTGTACAGGTCAGATTTGTTGAACATTACATATCATCCCAGCAGTTCCCTCTGCTCTCTCAATTATATATTGCAATATACCTCTTTGGCTCTGAACACAGCATATCAGTTCTCTGAAAGAATGGGTGGATACTAGGTCACTGCTGAACTACTTTAGTAGATCTCTTACTACACACCTTTCTATTTATTTAGCTTAGCATCTAAAGCATGCTTTTCTTGTAACTCCTTAGACCAATATAATAGGCAATTCAGTCATATTATTCCCCGTAATAGAGATTATTTTCCTGTTCCCTGCCAACATACAGTTATCTCCATTCCACCTTTCTAAAGCCCTGTGCATGAAATTGTCCATCATAATGTACTCATTCAAAGAAAAAGAGAATAGAAACAGAGGTATCTTTTCATAAAATATGGAATGAATCTCACTTTCTCCCTGGTTGCAACAGGACTCCAATACTATTTCACATTATTAATACTGGTTCAGAGGTCAGGGATCAGATTATGAGTGCGTATATAGATTTTTCAGACAACCCAGGACAGAATTAAGAGTCCATACTTTGTACAGGTAGTCCTCAACTTACAACCACAGTTGAGCCCAAATTTTCTGTTCCTAAGTCAGACAGTTGTTAAGTGAGTTTTGCCCTATTTTACAAACTTTCTTGCCACAGTTAAGTGAATCATTACAGTGGTTAGGTTAGTAACATGGTTGTTAAATGAATCTGGTTTCCCCATTGACTTTGCTTGTCAGAAGGTCACAAAAGGGGATCACGTGTCCCCAGGGACACTGCAACTGTCATAAATATGAGACAGTTGTCAAGAATCTGAATTCTGATCATGTGACCATGGGGATACTGTAATGGTCATAAGGGTGAAAAACAGTTATAAGTCACTTTTTTTCAGTGTCATTTAAAACTTCAGTCACTAAACAAATGGTTGTAAGTCGAGGGCTACAGCAGGATATTTAACTCTTTCTGTACTGAGAAAGGATGTGCTTATAAGAACTCCACCCTTGGGAAAATAACTCCATTTATATCAAATAGGAAGAGGCATCCTTTCAGCTTCTCTGGCTTATTCTGCCGAATGAGACCCAGTGGATTCCCTTGCTCCCCCCCCCCAAAATCTTCCCCTAATTGCTTCCACAGCTGTGCTCTCATCTGGTCCCCGAGGGGTCATCTCCTGCAGACGTCTCCTGCAGTGGCATAGCTGGGGCGGCATACCGCACCCTCTGCCCGCTAATACTATTCTTGAAGCAAAATGCAATTTCAACCGAATGGAAAGAGCTGGTGCACAGAGTTTGATCCTTTGATCATAAGGCCTGGTGCCATTCCCGGTTTAGATCTTCGGGGTGGGGGAAGAGGCATCCTTTCTTCCTCCCCCCTCCCGCACCACAAACCCCATCCTTGGATCACCTTTGCGAGCCAACAGGAGGCGGCAGGGAGGTTCGCTAACCAAAGCACTTAAACCCCCCCTCCCCCTCGCATGCTAGCGCTACCCGACGCCTTTTAATTCCTCTTCCCCCCCCCCGTTAAGGAGGAGGAGAAAGGGGCGGAGACTAGCGACATGGGGAGGGCGGGGAGGAAGATAGCGGGAGAGGTCGGTCATGGGTGCCGCGGGAGCCGTGCTAGCCCGGAGGGGGAGGGGGGAGATGTGAGGGTGTCCTCTCTCACCCCCACCCCCACCCCCGGTATTTTCTTTGCAAAGGGTGCTTTCCCTCTCCTGCCGATCAAACCCTCACCACCTCTGCTTTGATAAGCAGCTTGATTTCCTCTCTGCACCGGGCAGCGAAAGATTTTTTATTTTTATTTTTTTGCCATTTCTCTCTCCCTCCCCCGTGAGGGTGGGGCGTCCCAGGAAAAGTGAGGTGTCTCTCTTTCTCTCTCTTCTCCCTCCCTCATTCTCCCCCCCTCCATCACTACTCTTTTGCCCCGTTTCACCAGCTATCACCTCTTCCTTATTAAGACCTCTGAATGTGCGTTTCTCTAGAGTTACAAGCATCCACCAGTCCTCTCCAGCCCGGGAAGAATTTAATCCTCGAAGTCAGCCACCAACTAACCCCAGCTGAAGATAAAGAGGGTGGGGGCTGCACAAAAAGGACACGATTACCCTCCCCCCCCTTCTTAGCCCCTTTTTCATCGGGGGACGGCGCCAGCTGGGACCAAAACACGAGCTTGCTTCCCCTTAAGATGCCAACCCCATTGATGAAAGCACCCGAGAGATGATCAAACGCTGAAAGGACGGAAGATTGCACTATTTTGACCACCTTCGACTTCCATAAATACATTTTTTTAAAAAAACAAACTTGGTGGGACCTTTAAAAAAAAAGCGCCCACTCTTCCTTGCCCCCACTTCGCTTCCGTTGGCATCAATCCGCTCCTCCGCCCTGACCAATTTCGTTTGGGTGATGGTAAGTTTCGCCTCACTTTCCAATATTTGTGCTTGCTTGGCGGGGGCCCAGAGAAGTTTATGGGCTTTCTTGGCGGGCGGGGGCGGAGGGAGAAAGTCCGTGGCAGGTGGATCGGGGCAAAGAGAGGGGATGAGGGAGGAGAGTTCAGCCAGGAGCAAAACAAGGGGGGGGGGAAACCCGAGATCCGTAAAGAGGAAGGAGGGTTGTACCGCCCGTAGGGTGAGGAGGAGGGGAGAGATGGGTTCTGATTAAGTGCGGACCCCCCTCCCTTGCAAGAGTGCGCCAGCGATTTGGTACACTTAACCATTGTGCCTCCTCCAGGGGAAGCACCCTGTGTCTCCCCGTCCCCCGCCCCACTCCGGTTGCCGCAAAGTGCTGCTAGTGTCAGACTTTAATGCGGGGGAGGCGAGGGGGGGGCGAGAGATTGAGAAGGAAAGAAGCGGAGACTCAAGGCGAGCTGCGTCTGCGGTGTGTCTGGATAGCTCTCCTCTCTCTGGTGCGCTTTTACGCATGGAATTGGGGAGGGGGGAAATGCGTAAGATCTGTGCAGGAGGCGGGAGGCGAGCGGCGAAAGTATGGCACACGCTCGCTCGCTCTCGGCAGCAGCCAGCTTAGCCCAGGCTCGAGGTAGCGGAAAATGGCCGCTCTGGCGAGGGGGGTGGAGGAAGAGGGCGGGCAAGCCAGCGAGCCGAGCTGAACTTGAAAATGACGCCTAGCGGGGAGGGAGAACCACCGCGAATGTGCAACGCCAAGGCTGCTCCGGCGGCTGCTTTCCCTCCGGCCTCTCTTGCGCCAGATGACCCGCCTTCCCTCCCCCCCCCCCCGGGCCGGCCTTCCCAGCCCAGCTCAGGAAAGGCAGAGCAGGAACTCCCTCTCCAGAGCGGCTCTCCCGCCGTGCCCCAGCCCTTTGCGCGTCAAAAGTCGCTGTCTCGCGGGCAAAGCGAGCTGGGCCCTGCAGCAGGAGGAGACAGGCCGCCTCGTCAGCATAAGCTGCGAGGTGCTGCTGCGAAGCACCGCTGGACAAGAGGGGGAGAGGCGGCCGCAGGCAGCCCAGCGCGCACACGCCGCCTCTGCTGCAGCTTTTGCGGCAGAGGGCATTTCCCCCCCCCGCGTCCAGTTCTTGCTCTTCGAGCCTTTCTTTCCCCCCTTCCCAAAATTCACCCCTATATATAGACGCACTGGAGAAGCTGCCTCACTACCCCATCCTTATGCTGGGGGGGGGGTTGTAGTGTGCGCGTTGCGGGTCCCGCGTCCGCCAGTCCTTCCCCAGCTGCAGCCTTTAGTCCGGAGCCTCCGCGCGGAGTAAGCGGGCGCCTTGCGGCCGAGGCCGACTTCTGCTGCGTCAACGCAAGCAGGGTGGCGTTTCTTTGGCCTGATCTCCTGCTTTCCCTCTGATGGAAGAATTGCGACCGCTGCGCTGCGTGTGTGCGTGTGCGTGTCCCCGCGCAAAAAAGGAGGCTCGGGGCAATCCCAGAAATTCACAAGTAAAGTCAGTGGCACTTTCTCCTGGGTAAAGGTGTTTGGGATTGCCCACTGGCAGGACTAAAGATGATTGGGGAAAGGAAGGGGCGGTGCATTGACGGACTGGTGTAAAAAGACCTAATGTCATTCTTTCCTTAAGTGAAAATCTCTCAGCCGAGATTAACCAGATAGATCTTCTCCGCCTTGGAGAAAGAGGGGGAGTCATCCAGGGGCACAGTAACCGGGAGCTATCCCCCCCCCAAATAAATATGGCCTTGTCCGGAATTGGCCCTTCTTTTGCGTGAGGAATCTTGCTCTGGACTAGGAGTTTTTACAAAGGCAAAATCTGGCTCTAGAAGTGAAGAGAGAACTGGTATCTGGGTTCGTCTGAACATCCCGACACATACCTTCAAGAAAGCAGTGCTGCTTTCGTGGGCCCCTCAGTTTGCGCCTTGGGTGCACTTCAGATCTTGTGCCCTCCTGTCTTGGCCTCAATTAAGCCAGAGACTGGCTGTTTTTGTTCCCCACACACCTTTCTTTCCCTTTCTGACGCGCCACTTATTGTACAACAATTTTCCTCCGACTTTGCCAGGTGGCAGGAGCTAAGGTCCTTTTAAGTAACCTTAACTCAAACTGAACGAAAATACCTGTCAGCCAAGGGAGATGGAATTTCTGTTTTGTTTTTTGTTTTTAATCCAGAGAATGGAATGGGCTTTTCGGGGGGGGGGTTGGCTGAGTGAGAGTAAAAATTTCAAGGACAACCCAGGAGAGAGAGAGAGAGAGAGAGAGAAGTACTAACTTGGGGCAAGTCAGGACCTCATTGAGGTGCAGCAGAGATTGCGGTTATCCTCCCAACTGCTTTACAGCGTCTTCCAAGCATGGCATGGCTGTGCCGGTAGATGAAGAAGATACCAAGAAGAAAGCCTGCTGGGAACCACAAAGGACAAATTCTGTAAAAGGTGAATTGGCTTGAAGAGGTCGGCCTGCCTCAGTTGGCTGTGACCCGAGTTCAGACTTCCGATTACAAATGTGGATTCTTGCTTCAGCTACAGAGCTCTGCATATTAGCAACTGTGGTTCCAGGGAAGGTGCTTTTGGTCTCTTAAATATTTTGCCTCGGGTATCTTGTGACAAAAGTGCTTCTGGCCCATTAGGAAGATTTGGAGATAGAAAGAACTCTGGAAGCGCCAGCTCTGCCTGGTCGAGTTTCTGCATGCAGGATGTCTCTTGAAGTTTATTTTTTTTTCTTTTTGTTATGAGGGAATATCCACCCTTTTCTCTGCAATCTGGTGATAGGAACCAAGAGCTAGGCAACTGCTCTCTCTTAAGGTCACTAGGCCAATCCTTATTCTCGAATAATTTCGAATCTGCTCTTTTATCCCTCCCATTTGGTAGGTGAGCAGAAGAGACCCTTTCTAAATAGCTTGGATGAGATAAGGCCCATTTTCAAAAGCTCCCAATTATCTCCAAGATAGCCTGGGGCGCACTGTCATTTATTTACCAACTTATTTATTACACTCAGCCACAGCTAGTCACCTGTTCAAAAAAAGTAAAATTTCTTTATGATTATTCCTCCACCTCCCTTCCCCCCCCCCAGGTTCACTTTCTATTTAAATCCCCCAAGATGCTAAATAAGTCCACAAGCCCATTTTCCGCATTAAAGATCGTGGTCCTGGCTGTCCCAGCTCAAAAATAAATCCCGTTTGCTTTTAGTGGCCTTAATTCCAGATTAAAGGGACTCATGGGACTCCATAGACCTTGCAAGTGTAATTTGCTTTGCCTAGGTGCGCTTGTGTGGATGGTGGGTGATCTCCCCAAGCTGACAACTTGCTAGCCTTCGTGGTGACCTCATTTTTAAAGTTCCTTTTTTTTGGATCAGGGGAAATCTCCAGAAGTGAAGAAGGTTGAGTGCCGGCCACGTTAATGACTTATTAAAACTTTAGATAGTCACTACATTTGAGCGGCTGTGCCTTGAAGTGCCTGCCTAACCGCGGTAGAGGGCTTGTGGCTTTTGATGCGTAACTGGCAGTCTTGCCAGTGAAACTTTTTCTTCTTACTCTCCCCCCTTCGCCGCCCCGTGTTCGAGGGGTGCCCTTTTTTCTTATTCCCCCAGTTTCTTTTGATTTACTTCTCTATCTCGAGCCTACCTTGTGTAGAAACTGTGGATGTGTTGAAAAATAGACTGGAGGGATGCACTTCTGAAGTTGGGAGCACTGGGCATTTTCTTCGGGTGGGCCCCGTCTAGTAAGCCCAGTGTCGCCCCCAGGCCACTGGCTGACCATTGCAAGAGAGGAGTTGCTCCCAGAAAGCGTCCCTAACTTTCTTCTTCCTCTCTTTCCAGTGGGGGGGGGAAGACTGATTAACGGGAGGAAAAGAGAATTTGAGAAGGGAATTTCTCAGCCTCTCTCCATTCGTTCCACTGCCTGGCGCTACGGCCTGGCAGTGTTATGAAGTGGGAGGTATAGAAACTTCATTATCTAGGAACAAACGCCTTGAGAAGAGGAATATTAGGGAGGGGACCAGATTTTTTCAGGACTAAGAATTCCAGCGTCTGGAGATCTACATTAAGATTGCTTTTTCCATCTGCATTTTGGAGCAGTGACAGCCGAAACCTGCCCCAAGATAGGAAATTGGAAAGTCCTGGAGAAAAAAAAAAAAGTCTTGGCTCTTTTTATTTTAATACTACCTCATGCTCATACTCACTCACACTTTTCCACCTCCAGTTGCTGAGTAGCTAATTGATTCAACTTGCTCTTTTTTTTTAACCTGTTTTCCTAAATTCCATAAATACTGCACACTCTGCTCACCCGAGTGTTTCCACCAAATTCAAAGGGATTGGTGAATAAAGTTAAAGTTAGGCTTGGCTGGAAAGATTTCACAGTTCTCTCCCCAATATTCTTAGCTTTCTTAATATAAGTCCAGAGAGGCAGCACTTTCATGATTATTATTGTGAACACTATTTTTTAATTGATTTCCCCGGGATCAGGCAGACGGAGGTAGGAGAGCTGTACCGTAATTCTCTTGGGCAGAGGAAGAAAGCCAGGGCTTGAAGTTTTTAACACCCCTACCCTGAAGTCGGTGGGTGACACTGACATGTAAAAGGGCATGCCTGTACCCATTTTAAAATATATATGTTTGAAGATGGGAGATAAAGAGGGTTAAGGATGGTGGTTCTTGCAAAAAAGTAAAAAGGGGAAATAGCTTCTCTAAATTAGAGCCTCGTCTGCCCGTCTTACCTGCTTTCAGAGGAACGTTTATGTGTGAAAGTCTCATGCTGCTGATATCATAAATTTTTGTATTAGTTTCTCCTACCTTACCTCGTAGGCAAAAAAAGGGTAACTCGAATTGATTTTACGGGGGCGAGGCTCAAACCCATCCTCGGATCGGGTTTTTGCTCTCCTTTCGCCTTTTCCTTTCACTTTTTCCCTCCTGGTTTCTTTCTGTCTCTGGGCAGGTTGCTTCTAAAATTTCACTTTCTTCTTCCTAACATTTCACTCGGGATTTTTTTTTTTTTAAGGACAACTTTAGTTAAGTTTCCTC